AATTCCCCAGCCAGCCTTACTGGCTGAGGAATTCTGAGAGTTGAAGTCCACCCATCTTAAAGTTGCCAAGGTTGAGGAATCCTGCCCTAGACCAACTCCACTGAGCTGTTGTTAGGATAAAATGAGGGTAATTTCAGACGTACTACTCTCGGAGCATCTTACAGGGAGAATGAGAAATAAAAATAAATCCAGGCCTCACACAGTCTCAACACACTTGGATAACTTCTCCCAGGTGGAAGCTGATGGATTTAAAAACTCACCAACTTTGATTCTACATTGAACTCCTGTGGCAGCCTGAAAGCTCCCAGTAATGATAAAACATCCCAGTTCAGCTGAGAATCCACTTGGTACAAAAATAGATGCCAAAAGCAATGATTCACTGGAATACAGGAAAGCCCTTTGTTAATAATAAACCTTAGCAGCTCCTGCAGACTTCCAAAAAGCACTTGATATCAAATCTATACCACCCTGAATCTTTCAAAATATCCATCCACACCTTGCTTTTGCTCACACTTCTCCTTTTAACTCTCTTTTTCTGATGAGCCCTCAAATTCTCTTTGTTTACATTATAAATAAACCTTTTGAGGAGGAACATGTCTCTTGCTAATGGTAAATTATAAAGTGCTATGTACTTACGTATGATACAAAATCAATAATAACTTGATTTTAATAACTTAATAATAACTTGATTGAATCACTTGATACTAAAAGCGATCATACTAACACCACCATGGAATGAGGAAATAAACCTGGAAAGCCCAGAAATAAACTGGAACCAAAATGTTATGCAGACGTCTGATGAGACACCAGATTTTCTATTCCTGTTCTAATGTCACACATGATATCCAGCAGAATCCAGAGGGAAAAAGAGAATCAGTCAGTTGGCCGAGGAAAGTAAATCTCTGGAGGCAGCTCACATTCAGAAATGCCAGACTCCTAGTCTCAATGTTTAAAATTCCAATAGGCAAGCATGCATGCCCACCTGCACCCAAAATCACATTTTCATTTTCCAGAGAATGGATACAGTTCTAGAATGCATATTCCCCAATGTAATAGTTTAAAAAGGAAGCTTAGTGCTTCTATATAGCACACAGAGCCATCTAATCAAGTCAGTGCATTGTAGAGCAGAACAATGAAATGGAGGAGATGTTATTTTTGAAAGAATAGGCTAAAGTTTTCATCCACAGCAGATACAAAAGGGTGTTTTCTGTTTTTTGGGGAAAAGGTCCACACATTCACACATCTTTCCTAAAACCAATCTTCCTTCCTTCCTTCCTTCCCTCCCTCCCTCTCCCTCCCTCCCTTTTCCTTTTATTTTGCAACTTCCACTAATTTGACCTCAATAGGCCCCATCTCCGTTTTTCTCATATGGGTGCTTCCCTACCTTCCCCCAAGGATAAAGACACTTTTTTTTGGCAGCATCTCCTTGAAGATAATGCCGCATTGATCTCAGAATCATCCAAAGGTGAAGGCACATGTTCTCTCTTTTATTTGGCAGAGCCACCTTGCTGCCATCACTTTATAAGAGAGTCTGGGGAAGAGGCTATCAGGATCCATTTGCAGATGACTTAACTTCCAAACCAACATAGTGACCTGTATGGATTCAGTGCTTATCCATCTCTTAATCGTTTGGCTCTCATTTCTACCCTGGAAACTGAGAAGCTCTTAAATCCCACAGCTTATCTGATGACAGCCTGGACTTAGGGTGCCTTGATTAACAGGGAAGTCAGGATGCCATTAGATATCAATCTGAAAATCAGGCTTCCAAAAGAAATGTGATTGGAGGCTTTTTCCAGGTGAGCAGGGAAAGGGATAAGCTAAATGGTGGGGAGCTGAGGCCTTAGGATCAGGTCTGAAAGTGGGCAACTCACCCAAGTGTGGTCATGGTGACAATAGTGTACCAGAAGGCAGCAGGGATGCTGGTGAAGTTGGTCTCCTTTGTGCTCTTCTCAGCATAGAACATAACGGTGGCAAAGATGATGATAGCCATAGTGAGGGAGAAGAGGAGGAAGCCCAATTCAGAGGCACAGCTCTTAAGAGTATAGCCCAGGATCCTTAGGCCCTGTGAGTGGCGTGAGAACTTGAAGATGCGGAAGACACGGAAGACTCTCAGTGTCACAAAGGCCCCAGAGACGTTTTCATTTTCTGGCACCACCAGCCCAATATAGTAAGGCATGATGGCCACAACGTCAATGATACTCATCACGCTCTTCATGAACTTGAATCGACTGGGGGCAGCAAAAAGCCGCATGAGATACTCAAAGGTAAAGATGAGGACACATGCTGTGTCCATGCAGAAGAAAGCGTTGGGGAAACGATCTCCACAGGACTCGCTTTTCTTCTTCCCAGGAGGTGGCCGGCATGGGATCGTCTCCACCACATTGGCAATGACCGAGACAGCAATGAAGAAACCAGTCACATAGTAGAAGACCAAAGCCATGGTGCTGGTATGGGGGTTCTCAAACGCTCTCCAGAGCTGTTGACGGAACGTGCTATCTGGCGGCAAGGCAGTGTCCGTGGCAATCTCGGCTTCTTCATCCTCAGCCAGGCGCTCCGCATTCTCCTTCTTGCGGTCACGGTATTCCTCCAAGCAGCAGTCACCAATCAGCTCTGGGATGATTCCGTAAAAGGACAGCTCTTCATCAAAGGCCTGTATGCACTCCTGGCGGGGATAATGGAGCCTACCTGTACGATAGAAGTTGAGAATGTGCCGGAACATCTCTGGGTCACGATCAAAGAAATATTCCTTGCTATCTTCATCATAAAAGAATTCCTTCTCAGAACTGCCTAATAAGGTATCTGGATAACGGTCCAGGGTATTCTTCCAAGTTTGGAAGCGTTTTCCACTAACGTTGACCACTAAGATTTCATCATGGCGGCGTTTCTTGTCCAAAGGAGGCTTGGGCATAGGCTTCTTGGCCAGTGGGAGCCAGCCCACAGCTGCTGCCCGGGCAAAGGGCAGCCAGGTTGCCACTCCTGCAGCCATGTTGTGGAAGCTGTGTCACCATCCAAACCCACGACGCTCTAAGACTTTTGGAAAATAGGGGCTGTCTAAGAGTTCTTCGGCTGATTATTTTGGTCAGTTGCAACCACAAGTCAGTGACTTAGAGGGTCTCAGTAGGAATGCAGCCATCCAGATTAGTTCTGTCTAAAATATCCAGGCATACCAAAATATTTATTCCAATAAGGATGGCGATGTTTTTCCCTCCTGTGCAAAAATATCCAAGCTTTCTTCAGTGGATGTTAACAAATCTGGATGTATTAGAGAACTTGCTGCCAAACAGTATTCCAACTCTGTATTCAGATCAAGAATTGTGGAATCAGAAAGAGGTAGTGCAGCTGACAGGAGTCTTCTCCATAGTTTGTCTGGTGCCAGATTAATTTGACCATGTGGTTCTGTGCAGACTGAACATGGTGGACACTCCTCTCTGGAAACCTGCAATGGATTATATTATTCTGCTGTTCTTTGTCTTCTGATTCTTTCTTCCTGTTGGCAGAGAAAATGGATGACACGATACCAAGTTGGGGTGGGGGTAGGAGAAAGGGGCTCAGTTGATATGTTCACCTTTATGGAGGACACAAACGTTGCTGTGGAAAGGGGAGAGAGAAAGAGAGAGAGAGAAACAAAGAGAGAAAGAGATAAACTATGAGAAAGAAATAACAGCATGCCACTAGGTTATGGCATTTGGCGTGAATGCAGCAGTTCTTAACTAGCCCTGCTTCAAAAACTGAAAACCAAAAACCCTATATGAGGAACATGGCCTAATTAGCTGTTAACCCTAAGAGGCACTAGTTTGGGATCCAGTCTTCTGACTGCATTTCTGAGAAGAAACAGAAACCTCGAGGCCGGCCAAGGGAATGAGAGCCACGATTCCTCTGCACACCATCTTTGAAGAAGGTGCCTTGAGATCAGCTCCTAGATAACCACGTAAATCCTTCCCCACAGCTTGAATAACATCTAGGGATCTAGGGTTCAAATGACTGGAGGAGCCAACAGGACTTGTTTCATATTGTAAGAGTCAAAAAGACCCTGACAGGAAAGTACGATGGCCATTCATAATGCTGTGTCCAAGATGTGGCATGCAGAAGCTTTGTCAAAGAGTTTGGCAAAGGCAAGGGAACACTTGTAATTTCATTGTGCCTACTAGGGTGTGAATACTGCTGTTTCTCAGGGCAAACCAACAGCAGCCCCAGTGAAGGGAGGCTGGGGAGAGGAAAGAGAGCAGTTCTCAAGAAACACCCTCAGGATCCAAACAAACTTTCCCATTAACTGTTTGTCTCCTTGTGCCAAGAGTCCCCACCTCTAATTGGAGGCTAGGCTCTAACTACAGCTTTCCTACATACATACCTATAAACAATTTGGATTAAAAAAAAAATCCAACAACCTCTGGGGGGGCATGGGAAAACTGGAAGGAGAGGGATGGGAATTAAGAAAAGAACAGGGCAAGTCTTTGGAGAGAAAGCAAATGAAGAGCAAGGCAAGTTAAAAAATGGAAAAGACAAAATCCTTGGGAAGGAGGGAAGGAAGGAAGGAAGGCCAAATTTAGAGAAGGTGATAATCCCTGATGGAATGGTGGCAACTCTGAGGAGTAAAACGTCAAATCTAAGGCGCTGAAGATGTGAAGAAGCCCAATTTATGGGGTATGTGGAGTAATTTGAGTGGGTTGGGGGGGGGGGGGTTGCGGGGGAGGCTAAAGCAAGGCTCTTACCCCTGAGACTGTCCGAGAAGCAGGCAGCAGCCTGACGACCGCGAACCCCGATGTGGGGTAGTGGGATTCCGGGTCAGGAGGTACCGGGCCGCCCCCAGGGCGCAAGCGACAGGGCTCCGGTTGCCCCCGGCGGCGCCGATCCTCATCGCTCCCCTCGGCTCGCCCGTCTGACTGTGCTGCGCTCCCACCCTCCCGGCGCCGTGTGTGTGCGCGCGTGTTTGTGTATCTGAGTGTGTGTGCGCGAGTGTGTGTGAGCTGCATTCGGCAGGGAGGGGGCAGAGCGAGCGGTTGGCAGCAGCGAGTGGCTGCATCGCAGGCGGCGGAGGCGCGCACCCCAGGCAACGCTCGGGCCGGCCGGGGACCAGCAGGAGCAGGGGAGGGAAGACGCAGGCTGGGGGGGTGGGGGCGTTGGCAAGAGGCTGGAAAGGCAGAGGCGGGAGGAGAGGAGCGGGATGAATGGCCCGGAATGGAGGGCGGATGGTACACGGATAGACGGAGGAGTTCAACAGGAGAGCACAGCAAAGAGCCAGGGTGGGTAGAGAGGAAAAGCTGGATGTTAAGAAGAAAGAGAGAAGAACGATCGGGAGCGGGAAAACGGCTGGCTGAGATCACGTAGGAAAGAAGATAAACCAGAGATCTTAAGAGGTGCATCAAGAGAGACGGGGGTGCTCTGGGGACCGGTTAGAAGCTAGAGGCGGGCAGCTGCGGGAGGCAGGAAGGGGGGAAAGCCCTGGAGAAGTGCCCGATCAACAGATAGCACCTTCAAGCCACAGAAAAGTGCTTAGAGACAGGCGGCGGAAGGAGGCAGAACCACGGGAAGGGCAGCCACACAGCAGGCTGAAGGAAGTCCGGGGGATCGTCGAGATCTGGCGAGCGGAAAGGACGGCCGGGCCCTTCCAACGCCCCGAGGAATCAGGCGTCCCGTCCTCCACCCCCGGGGGTCCCCACGTGCCCTTCTCTTTCCTAACCCCCCCCGCCCCCTTTCGGCTTCTGCGGGAAACCTGCTTCCCAGTCCTGCCCTGTTTAGAGCCGGGCCATTCCCTTTCCGACCGCAGCTCAGAAGTCGTGTGTTGTGCGCAGTGCTGCTGGTTTACGTTTATGAGCCTCCATAGGAATTTCAAATTTGGTGCCATGCAGGATAAGTACAAAGAGGAGGAGGATCAGGGAAGGAGAGGGCACAGTCGCTACCGCGCGGGAGGGGCGAGCTTCTCTCAATGAACCTGGGCCGCCGCCGCCGCTCCTCCTCCCTCGGATCTCGCACAGAAGCATCCCGGGCTCCTCCTCACAGCGCCCCCTCTGGAGATCCCGGGGAGCGTCGCTTGCGGTACGCAACGCCTCTGACCCCCGCTCCTCGCTCTGCAGAGCGCGCCCCGTCCTACCGATGGGTTCGTAGAGATTCCGCAAAATCGAAGGGGTGACACGGTGCCAAGGGGAAATGTTCTCCCTCTGAAGGCCAACACCCCCGACAAAAATTCCCCTTCCCCACAGCGGGTGAAGCAATAGCCTAGCAACGCTGAGAAAGGCTAGGCGGTTTTCTACATGCAAGTTTGCTTTCTAGTGCGAGAGCCGTCAAAGGTAGGACTAGGGCCTAAACTGGCAGACCCGGGGAGGACATTTGGTTGAGTTCTTGACCCTGCTGAATGCATGACCTGGCTGTGAGTTTCTTAGTTTCCCTTTGTCTGAACTCATACACACAGGACTAGAGATTAACAATAAGTAACGCCGAGAGGAGCAATGTTTTATTAAGTTGGCTTTATGATCGCTGTGGTGTTTTTATGATTTCTAAGTTTTGCTGTTTTATCGATTTTTTTGTTTTTAATTGATATATGCGTCTCTGAGTGCCTCCTGGCAGAAACAGCTACTTGCAAGTGCAATAAATCAA